ACAACCACAAATTGTTACTTCTGCAAGGCCAATGTGACAGAGCATGCCTATAATCCCAGCAGGAGGTAAAGTAGGAAGATCATTAGTCAGAGGTCTTGCTGGCTACATTTTCTCAAAATTTAATTAGCTGTGCAAATAAGAATAAAGTTAACATATATCCTCATCCTTGCACTACTCATCCACTTGGGGAATGAAGTAGAGGGCTGGAGAAATTGCTCAGTGGTTAAAAGCACTGCTTGCTCTTCCAGAGGTCCCAAGTTCAAGTCTCAACCAGCACATGGTCACTCACAGCCATCTATAACGGGATCTAATATCATGCAAGAATACATATAAATAGAACACCAATATACATAAAACACATGAAAAAAATAAAACTTTAAAAGAGTGGTTAAGTGACCACTTCTATTAACTGAACTCTAGGCACTAAAAAGTCAGCTGGTAATCCCAACACCTAAAATGGACACCGGAAATCAGCAGGTCAAGGTGACAGCCACCCTGGGCTAAATGATACACAAGAAAAAAGTAAATTATGTAGGAGTCACAAGCCAGAAAAGGTTCATAATCTGTCATGAATAAAAAATGTAAAAAAAAAAAAAAACAAAACAAAACAAAAAATAGGGTGTCCTTTAGAGATGGCTCAGTGGTTAAAAGCACTTACTCTTGCAGAAGAGCCAGATTCAACTCCTAGCATATACACGTGGTAGCTATAGTCCCAAGGGATCCAAAGCCCTTTTCTGACCTCTGTAGGCACCATGCACGCATGGCATGTTGTACATATACACATATGCAGGCAAAACACTCAAAAAATACCTTTAAAAAAAAAAAAAGGCTGAAGTTCCTTTAAAGAGCATTAACAAGTTATCTGTAGGACATACATAAAGAAGTAGTTGGATTGCTAATGCAAATCTAGATTTTTTTTTTTTTTTTTTTTTTTTTTTTTAGAATTTAACACTGAATTTGGGCTTTAAGTTCCACTACCAGTTATAAAGTATAAAGTATTCTTACAGACAAGGACCAGGAACATCTGCCATAATTTTCTAATATGAACATCCTTCTTGAGTGGCTGAGATATTTTTTTCCACTATCATTTTATCTGTTGGATTTCCAAAGCCACCCACTGAAAAATACTGACAATTCACATTTTAGGGATAAAATGGAGATCAATTAGATTAAAGGACTAGTTTAAAGTCACAAAATACTGAAGTAACATCAAGTTTCAAATCAGTGATGTGTCTTCTTTAGGAGATGTCTCTTTTAAATAGAATAAGGAGTTAGAAAGAGGGCTCAGCAATTCAGAGCACACTGGCTGCTTTTCCAAAGGATGAAGATTCCCAGCACCTACTCAGTGGCTCACAACTGTCTCTAATTCCAGTTCCAAGAAATCTGATGCCCTCTTGTGGCCTCAGTGGGACCAAGCACACATTGACATATACACACACACATAAAGCAAAATTTTTACCCATACATATAAAAGATGTTTCAAAAGCCAGGCGGTGGTGGGGCATGCCTTGAATCCCAGCACTCAGAGGTAGAGGCAGGAGGATCTCCAGTGAGTTCGAGGCCAGCCTGGTCTACACAGCAAGTTCCAGGACAGGCTCCAAAGCTACAGAGAAACGCTAGCTGGAAAAAACAAAAACAACAACAACAAAAGCAAAAACAAAAGTTAAATACCAAGGCATCAGGGGAAAAAAAAACTAGGTAAATAACCAAGCAGCAGCAGTGGTGGTGCACACCTTTAGTCCCATCACTCAAGGCAAAGGCAGGCAGATCTCTGGGAGTTCAAGGCCAGCCTGGTCTACAGAGTGAGTTCCAGGACAGCCAATGCTACACAAATAAACCATGTCTTGAAAAACAAAGATAAATAAATAAACAAGTAAATAAATAAGTGCCAGATAAATATTCCCAGGCAGTGGTGGTGTACAACTTTAACCCTAGCAATCAGAAGGCAGAAGCAGGGAGATTTCTGAGTTTGAGGCCAGCCTGGTCAACAAAGCAAGTTCCAGGACAGCCAGAGCTGTTACAAAGAGAAACCCTGTCTCAAAAAACCAAAATAAATAGCTTCAGTTGGTGTCCTTTGCATGGTGTGTCCAAAGGTAAAGCTTACAAAGTAAGTGGAAAAGGGACATTTGTGCTGAAAAGAGAAAAAAAAGATGACTGAAATGAACATAACACACTTAAAAGTATTCTCAAAAGTAGACCATGATGTTTTAAGAAAGATGTTTAAGAGATAGTAACTGTGGTGGTACCCGAGCATTGGGGGAGAAAACAAAGTTGTGGAGGACGACTTGAAAATGGAGACTGAGATTAAAAGAAACAGAGACTCTTCTTGAAGAACATGGACAGTCCAGTGTGGATGAACCAGAGGCAGAGAAAAAGACTGAAGGCAAAGCAACAGAAAACACTAAAGAAAAGGGAAACAAAGCAAAGGGCTTGACCTAGTAGTAGCTTCTAAACTGGAGAGAGTTGAATGCGACAGAAGTTTGGTTGGAAAGTCTGCACTAATTTGAGCTCTAAATCAAAGTCATTTGTTTTCACACTTTAATTCGGCTTTATTTCAGTAACTCAAAAAATCAAAATAACTCATTTGTTTTGGGAGCTTGAGTAAAATATCTTCCAAATAATTTAATTAAAAAAATGTACTTCCCTCAGTCACAAAGTACTAACTTTTACTCTCTAATTAGACTCCCATACATTTTTAATACTTGCTCTTCTGTTTGTTTCAAGACAGGGTTTCTCGGTGTAGCTCTAGCAGTCCTGGAACTCAACTCTGTAGACCAGAGAGACTGGCCTGAAACTCAAGAGATCCACCTGCCTCTGCCTCCGTCAGAAATGGTGATATTAAAGGTGCGTCCTCCACCCAGAAATACTTTCTAATTTTACAGTAGCACTTTCTGGAACTACCCAGAGTTCTCAAACTTGTAGAAAGTATATGAAAAACTAAAACGCCTGATCAGAGAAAAAGTGAATGTCAGCTGAGAACACTACTCACAATCCTGAAACACAAGGAGGCAGATGGAAGCAATAATAATTAGAATGCTGCAATTTTATTAGTACAGTGGTAGAAAAGCAGTCATAAACAAAGCCCAGCAGCAACCATGTTACAATACAGAAAACCATACCAGGTCTTGCACAGACATGGAACAGGGAGTAAATTAAATACTGTCTTAAGATTTAATTTAATACTGAAGCAGCTCCATAAGCATAAGAAAATGGGCCTCTGTAAATGCCCTTCACAATTTATTATCCATAAATTTGCAATAACTTCAAATGTGACACAAACAAGGCCTCATATACAGGCCTCTTGCCTTTTTTCCAACACAACTAAGACCTTTGTTTCCAGCATCAGTTTTTTAACCCCACTCAATAATAGCTCTTTCAACTTTCCACCACGTATTTTTGTTTTGGTTTTAGAGATGAGATTCAGCCTCAGTTTGCCGAATTTTGTTTTTTTAAAAAAAAATTCTAATGCCAAAAATATCTAAGTCAAGAGCAAGAAAAAGTTAAAAGACACCACTACAAGGCCTACAAACCGAAGAAAGCATGGAGATCGGGTGATTTGGCAGCCCAGGCCAGATCGCGAGCTCAGACTAGGGAGACAGGAGAGCGGTTAGACCACTCGGAACAGAGTCACTGCGCTATCAACCGCCCCCCCACCCCCACCCCACCCCCCACGTTTTCTTAGTAACATTCCTGCCCCCGATTAACGGAGCGAGGACACTAAAACCCAGAACCCCGGCAAGAGGCTACAGCTATAATCTCTCCCAGACAAAATAAAACGCATTAACAGAGACAAATCTGCTGGACGGGTGGGAAGCCGTTTTCCTCTCACCTCAGAGGTAATCAATTCCCTCCCGTCCACCTAGAGTAGTTAGCCACCCCCCACCCCCATTATTATTTTTTTTTTAATTCTGCTGTTTCTCTGTTCTAACTAATTAAGGCTTTCTCTTATTCCGAGGAAGTCAAAGACAGAAGGCTGGGTCTTAAAAACCTTCGTTTTCTGAACATCCCTGTAACTTGTTTCCCTACAAGAAACGCACTCGCTAATCACAAGGAAGAGTTGAACTGACGGACAAACGGTGTAATGGGTTTTATGTAATCCACACATAATAATCGCCTGGCTCGCGTTGAATGTTAATACGATCGGGATGACAATTGGCCCACCTCCCTCACCCAAGCCCCAGTTAACCTCTGCGTCCTACTCCCCTGCTGGTCTTCTCGGAGGATGCTGCTTCCCTCAGCCAAGTTTCCCGGCCTCGACCGCGGCCCCTGCCAGCCCGGCAGGCACGTCGTCGTCCTCCCTCAGCCTCGACTTCCCCAGCTGGAAAAGCCTCCCTTCCCGCGCCAGCTCGGCCAGGCTCGCCTGCCCCCAACCGTCCGCCCTCAGCAAGAAGACCCTTACCGCGGTCCAAAATCACTCCCGCCTCGGCCTCCTCGGACCCTTGCCTCACAACAGTTGTCACTCGAGCTGCTCCCTAGTTTCCATTTCCGGGCCCGTCCACAGCCCAGAGCCTCCCTTTCCCTGTTTCCGGGCCCCCCGTCCCATTTCCGGGGAACCCTTGCCGTCCTCACGCCCCCCACCTGCACTTCCGGCCCCCCACTTTCCCTCTTCCTAGACGCCCTCCAGGCTCCAAAGACCACTTCCGGTCCCCTCCCGGCCCCCGCTGGGCTCCCCCAGACCCGCACGCCCTACCCAGGTTCCGCCTGGGGCCTTCCTCATCGCGGGAGGCCAGAGCGGGGACCCAGCGCCCCCCCCCCAGGCCAAGCCGCTCGGCCCCGGCTCCTCGGGCCGCGGGGCTCGCTCGAGCGCCTCACCCGTCAGCCTCGGGCTGGTCCTTCCGCGGCCCCGCCGCCGCCGCCGCCGCCAGCAAGTCGAGCCGAGAGCCGCGTCGCCACGATGACACGAGCGGGCTGCTTGGGACTTTCGGCCCGGGCTTCCCATTCCTCCCTCGGCCCCCTCCCCCAAGGCCCGACCCCGCCGCTCGCGACGGCGTCCCAATTACCTAGTTAGGCCCCAAAGTCTCCGGTCCGGACTCGGTGGCGCGACGGCAACTTCCACTGGCTCCCCCCACCCCCCCCAGCGGCGGCGGCGGCGGCGGCGGCTTGTCCTCCCTTCAATTATCAGCTGAGCCGCAGCACCGCGCCGCCGTGCGCCTCCGCCCGCGCCGCCTCCCTCCCCGCCCGCTCCACTCCAGCCAGGGACTACTTTTCCTGAGGCCCCGGCCTGCGGGATCCTCCGCAGGACCTGCCCCGCTACCTATTTACGGCCCAACATACCGCCCCTCCTCCCCAGCGCTCAGCTCGGCTCGGCCCGCAGCCCCCGGTCTCCTTCCGATCCCTTCAAGGGACCAGGAAGGGGACTTGGAGCGCCGCTCGGTATCCCTCCGCCGGGGTCACCCCCGCCCCTCCGCCCCAGCAGGAACTAAATTCCACTTCGGGTCACCCAGGACCTGATTGTAAAAATTTCACAAAGCAGGGTTCCTTGTGACCCCTGGCAAAAGGAAAGCACCACCCCAAGTTAAGACCCCCACCCCCCAACTGCCAGCTCAAAAGCGGGCTTCGCTTTAAACTGGGGCTGCGGCCCCCTGACCCCGGTCAAGCCCCGCCCCTTCCTGGTTGTCTTAGCGACGGCGGTGGCGTCCCAAGATGGCGTCGTGGCTGCCGGACACTCTGTTTGAAATTGTAGGACAAGGCCCGGCGCCGAGCAAAGACTATTACCAGTTGTTGATCACTCAGACTCAGGCAAGTGCGAGCCGCGGGTCCCCGTCTCTCCTGACCCCCTTCCCCGCCCGGCCGGGCCCCCGCGATGCGGGCCGCTCCAGGCAAACAGCCACCGTGGCCTGCCGGAAGCGCCGCGTCTCGGCTCACGGCGAGAGATCTCCCCTCGTCACCTCTGCTCGGCGGCCCGAGAGTCGGCTCTCCCCCCCCGAGGCCGGCTCGTCCCTGGCGAGCCTTCCCTGCCTCCCCGCCACTGCCGTCCGCTCCCCTTCCTACCTCCCGGCTTCCTACCCGTTGCGTTCCCTCCGCGCGCCGGAGAAAAACAGGCGTCCCTGCTTGCGTGCCGCCTCACCTCAGCGTGGGAAGGAGGGAAAGAAAGACTCAGTCAAGTGTCCCGAGGAGGAGCCGGCAGGGGGAGAAAGGGACGGTCTCTTCAGGGTAGGACTTAATCCTAGGGGATTTTTTTTTTTTTTTAATAAAGAACCTCGAGGTAGCTTTTATAATCACCACATCAAAATTCCTCTAACAGGAATGGCTGACTGAACGGTCTTCCCTTACCTTGCTGGAGCCCCTTCTGTCCCTTTGAAAGTGGAGGGGCGGGGGTACAACAAAAATGTTTCAGCTACTCTGCTCACCAGCCCCACCCATAATGACATCTGCTCCACAACAATAAGAACTAGGATTATGTTATCGCTAGAGTCAAGTAACCCCGGGGGCCTTCTTTTTTCTTTTGTTTTGTTTTGATTTTGGTTTTTGGTTTTTTTCTTTCTTTCTTTTTTCTTTTTCTTTTTTTTCCAAGTGTTTTGGTTGTAAGGGGTGGGCCTTGGATAATGTAGCCATGCAATGCTCTAGTTGAGCTGGGCTTCCACTGAGAACACTGTAGATTCCTGGCCAAGCTTATCTTGGTCATTAAGCTGTTCATGCTGCACCCCAAGTTTTAATAGGCCATATTCCTATGAAATTAAGTTTAAAACCTTGTGTATGTTTGGGTCTGGGCTTTGATTTACCCCATTTGTTTTGTTTTGTTTTTCCAGGAGCCCTCAAACAAAAGAGTAATAACTTAATATTTCTTTTACCTGTAAAACAGTAATGATGTGTGCATTTACTTTTTATGTGACCTAATAATTCTGCAACTGTAATGCTGCCTGTCAGATTTTTATTTTAAATTCATTAAAAATTTGACAAATAAGGTTTTGAAGGTTTGGTTTAGTTTGGTTTCTTTGTTTTTGGTTTGAGACTGGGTCTCACTATATAGCCCTGGATGGCCTGAAATTAAGTATGTAGACCAAACTGGCTCTGAACTTAGAGAAATCCACCTGCCTCTGCCTCATGAATTAGGCATTACACCCACCTTGAGGGTTTTCTTGGGTGGTTTGGTTTGATTGTTTTTTTGTTTGTTTGTTTGTTTTGCTTTGTTTTGGGTTGATTTTTTTTTTCCTTTTCTGTTTGGTTCTGTGAGGGTGGAACCCAGGGCCATTTGCTTACTAGACAGTTTTACTGCTGAGCCAGATCCCCACACCCCTATTAGTTTTAAGTTCTTTGATCCTAATAATTCTCTCTTTGTATAACTGACCTAAGCCTTTTGGAATTATGTTTTTCCATTTTCATCTATTGTAAGTAAGTTCAAATGGTAATTAGATTATTTTACAGTCTTTACTGTATCTTTAAAATTGTCCTTTGAACATTGTCTGGTGTCTATCACAAGGAGACTTCTCTTCCTTTCACCCTACCCCACCCCACCCCTGATGTTTTAAGCCTCAGTGACTTGAGAATATCTATCTACATGCCATCCTCTAACAAATTTGCTACATGAAAACTTCCCAAAATATTTTTAACTTTTGTTTTCATTTTTTTAAGACAGGGCATCCTGTAACCCAACAATTCTTGAACTCCTTCCTGATCGTCCTGTCTCTGCCTCCTAAAAGCTGGGATTATTGTAGGTGTGAACCACAATACCTGGCACTCTTTTTAAAAATCCCTTTTTCATTAGCAAATCAACAGCTGTTCTTTAAACTAGGTGACACAGACCTTTAATTGCAGCACTGGAGAGGCAGAGGCAGGAGAATCTCCAAGTTCAAGACAAGGAAGTTATTGGCAAGTCAAGGATACTTCATGAGGCCTTGTCTCAAAAATTAATAAGGAAAATGTTTTAAAAGGACAATTATTTGGGGCCATATTCTTTTTAGCACACACTCTCATGTAAAATCCTTCTCAAGACCTAGTCCATTTTCTTTATCAAGTACACTACAGTTCATTTCAAGCTCAGGCAGATCTCTGAGTTTGAGGACAGCCTGGACTACAGAGCAAGTTCCAGAACAGCCAAGGCTACACAGAGAAACACTGTCTTGAAAACCAATTTAAAAAAAAAAAAAAAAAAAAAAAAAAAAACTTACTGTGCCAACAAGATGCCTCGGGAGTTAAAGCACTTGCCTCAAACCTGATGACCTGAGTTTGATCCCTGGAATCTAAATAATGGAGAGAATGGACTCCCACAAGTTGTTCTCTGACCTTTCACATGTATGTTATGGTCTTCATGTGATCATGCTCCCCCCCAACCCCCTCCACACACAAACACATTCATAAAAAAAAAAAAAAAAAAAAAAAAAACTAGAGAGACTATCATAAACCAAGTAGCATACATCGTTCACAACCTATGGCCAAGTTAACAGCATAGATACTTTAACATCTGTGACTCCAAGAAGACCTAGAAAATTACTTTATATGGTTGAGGCTTACTATTAGAAATATTTTTGTCTTCTGGGACTGAAGGTGTAGCTCATTGGTAGTGTTGGCCTATTATACATGAGTTTGAACCTCACCAGTACTCCCATGCTTACAAAAATTCTTTCTTTGTTGTTTTGTTTTTCTGAAAGTGTCAGTGGTGGTGCAAGCCTTTAATCCCAGCACCTGGGAGGCAGAGGAAGCAGATCTCTGAATTCAAGGCCAGCCTGATCTATAAAGTGAGTTCCAGGACAGCCAGGACAGAGAAAACAATTAAATAAATAAATGGGGGAGGGAGGCAGAATTGTGGTGGAGAGATGTGGAAACAGCATCTTTTTATTATGTATGTACCTCTGGCTGTCCTGGAACTCACTATGTGGACCAGGCTGGACTCAATCTAAATCTCCTACCTGTGCTTTCGAACTGCTGGGATTAAAGGCATGCACCACCTTGTCCAGCTATCTATTTTTAATTATGTATATTAAATATAGTTGTGTTTGGGTGTGGTGCCTGGAGTTACAGATGGTTATAAGCCACGTAATGTGGGTGCTGGGAACCATACTGGTCCTCTAGAAGAACAGCAACAGCAAGCATTCTTAACTACTGAGCCCTTTTTGTTTTTGTTTTTTTTTTTGAGCCTGTCCTGAAACTGGCCTCAAACTCATAGAGATCTACCTGCCTCTGCCTCCCAAGTACTGGGATTAGAGACAAGTCAAGTGCCACAACTGCCTAGAGAGCCTTGTTTTGTTTTGTTGTTTCTGAGGTCTGGAGAGATGGCTCAGCAGTTAAGACCACTGAATGTTCTTCCAGGACCTGAATTCAAGTTCTGGCACCTACCTGGCAGCTCACAACTGTCTGTAGGTGATCCAAAACTCTGACACAAACACACATGAAAGCAAAACACCAATGCACATAAAAAATTTAAATAAATAAGTTACTTTTAAAAATTCTATCTTCTACAACAAGGGCTAAACAGAGAAACCCTGTCTTGGAAAAAAAACAAAAACAAAACAAAAAAAAAAAAATTCTATCTTCTTTATCCTTAAATGGAAGTGTTGCTTAAGGTGGCCAGAGCCAGTGACTTAGGTTTAATGTAGAAAGTTTTAGAAACAATAACCATGGACTAAGGAAATCAGAATTGCCACTAATAATATAAATAAGTGATCCACTCAGGAGTATCAACAGGTAATGCCCCCTGCCACAGATAAAAGAAAGAATCGGGCAATAATATAGTCTTTTTTATTTTATGAAACCCTACCCAGAACTACAAAAACCTGAAGATGTAGGAATGCTGGTCTTTGGATCGTGTGCTTACCTAGCTCACCTAGCTTGCCCTAGGTATGATCCCTAACAACACAAAAAACTGGCCTAGTGGCACACACCTAAGGAGATGGAGGCTAGACGATCAGAAGCTCAGGGTCATCTTGGCAGCATAGTTTTAGGCCAGCCTAAGCTACATGAAACACTTTTCTATGCCTAAAAAGAGTAGAAAGAAACTTAAGGGTTGTTCTTTCTCCTTTGTTGACTATTAGACAAGTGGAATGTAACGTAGAGGCTGGGGGTGTGGCTTAGTGGTAGTGTTTTTCACTAACTGGGTGGACAGAGTATTACACTGACTAGCTTGATTTGGCCCCAAATAAAGGGATCCCTCTGGTAAATTGAAGTGGATAGACACAGTTGGTATTTTTCCAAAAGGACCCAGGAATTAGAATCATGCTTTTCTGGACACCACACACACACATGCATGCACGCATGCACACACGCCCCATATACAGGGGGAAGAGCACAGAGGAATATCTGTTCTTCTGCCTACTTTTCCCATGTCTTCCCTATGTCTTCATAGGTCCTAGCTCCAAACTCCATTTTACCCATTGGCTACTAGCCACGGCCCAAATGTTTCCACCTGCACACTACCGTCCAAAAGCCAGGCTCAGCTGTGCTCTCTTGACCTCTGCCCCTTGTCTGTGACTTGCCCAGCCTCTTATCTGACCCCCTTAGCCCTTTCCTCCTCCTTTCCTCCTGAAGCTTAGAACATTAAGCCCAGCTCCCTCCGTCCACCCCTCCTGGGGTGTTTTCATTTCACCCACTGAAGTCATTCACATCTTCCTGCACTTCCTGACAGCCACAGCTGCAATAAACTCGACCTTCCCTACCCCACAGGTTTGGTCAGGTGTTTATAATAATAAACTGCATTATTCTTCTATCCCTCATGTCTGACACACTTTAGAAAAATGGTTCCCAACCCTGTGACACTCCAGGATGTACCTAATTAGAGTTGTGAAATGGCTTCTAATCAGAAAATT